CCACTCGAGAAAAATTCTCATCATCATCAACAGCCTATAAGTGGCCACTGCTGACCAAAAGCCTCTCCTCACGAAGAAGGTTTGAGCATTAATCACCACGCTTGCTTGAGGCAACTCAATGATAATGTTTTAGAGCCATATTTAGTTAATAAGTTGAAACATTTTAATTTTTGTTTTGTAACTTTAAACAAATTCTTAAAAATAGTTATTTAAGATTTAAAATAATTAAATTAGTGTATTAATTAACTCGTCGAGTACCGGTTTTGTAGACACAATTATAGAACAATAGGTTGCGGTCACCGGTGACCGCTTGGTGTTGGTGTATGACAGTTTAAATAATATTCATGATTACTATTATTTCGTAAGTAGAGTAAGTACTTTTGCGGTGCCCAAAAGGGACTATAATTGGAACCTATTTTGTCAACAATTGTAAACCACCCTATACCTACACACTATAGATGCATTAAAGTCATTTGAATTTGAAGGCTAAAACTGTATAGTGCGTAAATAAAAAAAAAGTAGACTAGACCCAAATAAATAAATTAGGTAGTAGGTAATGAAGAAATCAATCAATTTAGGTCAATACTAATTAATGTCAATATCACATTGAGGTGAAGATTCTAACAGAAATAGAAACAAAAGAATGACTTATTTAGATACAAGATGCAGTGTTGCAAAGTGCTCATAAATATTAAGGCGTAGCTGAGCGTGAGTCGTAGTGGCCCGGAGGTTGAAGACAGCTTCTCATGTACGAGACTGCAGGTTCGAAACCTACCAACGACAAGTACCAATGTAACTTTTTCCGACTTATATTATGTACTTTCTAAGATTATCTAGACACCACTGACAAACGGTGAAGGAAAACATCGTGAGGTAGTCTAGGCTTATAGTTTCGAATTATAACTTTGAAATCGCCAACCCGCATTGAGCAAGCGTGGTGATTAATGCTCAAACCTTCTCCATGTGAGAAGAGGCTTTGTTCAGCAGTGGGCATTTATAGGCTGTTGACTTCGTCGGCGTTGAATAATGTCTCTGGATAGTTCTTCATAGCTCCTCCCCCGTAAGTGATAGCGTGATAATATGTAGCCTATATGTTGAATCAATCTGTTAGTAATATTCATGAAAAATTTCAAGTGAATCCATGCAATACTTATTGAGTTTAGGGCTCTTACACAAAACTGCGATGCGCTGCGATGCGAATTCGCAACGCAAAAAATTACAATGCTAATTGCTGCGATGCGATTTCGTCCGACAAGGCGTCTCCCAGGGTGACCATTCCTTCGACGACCGTCAACCGTACCTCTACTAAACGTATTTTAAATTGAATAGGTACATGGATCGTAAAAAGAAGTGTGCACTTCTGTTATTGCTTAGTAGATACAGGAAAAAGAAACAAAGAAGATTTTGGGAAGATAAGATTTTGATGCGCGATGCGAATCAATTCGCAAGTTCTTGCGATGAGTAGAGGGAGCTCGCACATTTTTGCGATGCAACGGCGCATCGCAGTTTTGTGAACGAGCCCTTAGCCCACATACAGACAAGCAGACAAATTTCTAAAAACTACTATATTTTTGGCTTCGATGTCGCTTCATGATAGATCACGTCCTTCAAGTATCAAGTATCAAGTATTCTTTACAAAAATATTCATTGTACAGTTTTGACTTTTCTACGATTTTATTATTATGTAGATAATAACAAAGTCGATATGCTCAATAATTTTTTGTCCGTCCTTAGAAAATTGTTAATTTGTATTGTAACTTTCGTGAGACTTCGCTGTCACGCTGCTACTGTTGCCGCGTCGCGGGTCGCGAAATGCTGCTAATGAATATTAGTCTCTAGTATAGCTTGAAACTAGTCGAGTTCCACGTCAAATTACTACGTGATTAAGCCGAAAACATAATAATTGTTAATTTATTTTGGGATGACAAACATCCATCTATACAGATAAACAAAATTCGAGTGTCTATTTGTAATATTGAAATAGCCGCCTTTTACTACATGAATCCTTATTCTTATCCTTACTTCCTTACTAATATTATAAATTGGAAAGTGAGTTTGTTTGTTTGTTTGTTTGTTTGTTCCGCTTTCACGCCGTAACTACTAAACCGATTGCTTTGAATTTTTGCAGACGTGAAGTTAGAAGTCTGGATTAAATAATAGGGTACTTTTTATCCCGGAAAAATTTGACATTCCCGAGGGAAAACAAAAGTATTGGTATAGATGGCGCTGTGTGTATTGGTATATGTCACAAAGGCTACTTTTTATCCTTTTGTGACGCGAACGAAGCCTCGGGTAAAAGCTAGTATGGATATACATACGATACACATAACAAAACAATATTTTTTGAATGTTCGTCTGCCTGTCTATATGTACTGGCTAATCTCTGTAACGGCTGGGCCGATTTTGACAGGAATTTGACTGGCAAGTAGTTGATGTAATAAGGAGTAACATAGGCTATTTTTATTTTGGAAAAATAAACATAATAAAACTTATATCCCAAAATTCATATTGTACGCGGACGAAGTCGCGGGCAACAGCTAGTTACCTAATAAAAATGAATCACCAAAATGTATGTGCGCGCATAACTCCCGAACGGCTGCATAGAATTGGATAATTCTTTTGTCGTGTGCGTTATTGGTTCAAGGTTCTTGTGAAACAAATATTTGGCTTAGAGACCTCGTTTGAAACTCGGTTTTATATGATGCTAGTAGTTATAATGTTTTATTTATAACATAGGTCAATTTTCAGTCTTATAATTTCACAGTAAATATAACACCCATTTATGGGGATAAATGCCCCTGCCCCAGTACCGGACTACCCCCCCCCCCTTCCCCAGTCTCCCCAATCCCCGAATCCTCAAATACCCAGTACCCAAAAGGCCGGTGACGCAATTGTAACGCCTTGGTGTTTCAGGTGTCCATGGGCGACGCCGATTGCTTACCATCAGGTGATCCGTCTGCTCGTTTACTGGCTTGTACCATAGAAAAGAAACTTACCATGTACCGGGCACATTTCTAGACTCCGTGAGACTACTACTGAGATTTTTAAAAACCCAGTAATACTTTGCCCGACCCGGGTATAGAACCCGAGACCCCTTGCCCGGCAGTCGCACTTGCGACCACTCGGCCAACGAGGCAGTCACTTCTTTTTCTTCACCTCTTATAATATCTTCTGATTCATTTCGTAGCGGGATCCAAGACAGTTGTTCATGTCCCTGGGACGTTGGACTTCAGTGTTCCGGTGTTTTCATGGTTGTATCTACTGTATACCCTGGTGTACAGGAGTTGCAGCGGTTTTGGGAGGCTGTGACGGGCTTGTCCCAATTTAAACTGTCAAACACCGTGAGGACACCGGTGACCGCAACCTATTGTTCTTTAATTGTGTCTATAATGACGGTACTCAACGTGTTAAAAAATAGACTTAGCCCCTATTACATGGGACTCATAACGTAACTGGGTAAATGTTGATGTTACTGTTATATTGTGTATGTGGACCTCTGCTTACCCCTTTCTTAATTAAAACGTGTGATGTTATGTTTTTATATTCAAAAGTGAAAATTAATTGTGTTGTTTCTTCATTATTTATAAGTTTAATCGTTAAAATTCTTCGTTAATAAAATCATCAGAGAATAATAATATACTAACTCCTGCCCGCGGCTTCGCCCGCGTTTCCATAGGATAAAAAGTACCCTATGTGTTATTCCAGACCGTAATCTACCCCCGTTCCAAATTTTATCAAGATCTCTTCAGCCGTTTTCACGTAAAGGACGAACAATCAAACGCAGACACTATCGCATACATCACTACATAATATAAAACAAAGTCGCTATCCGCCGTCTGTCTGTCCCTATGTATGCTTAGATCTTTAAAACTACGCAACGGATTTTGATGCGGTTTTTTATTACATAGAGTGATTCTTAAGGAAGGTTTATATGTATAATACACGCATATTGCACCCGTGCGAAGCCGGGGCGGGTCGCTAGTTCACAATGTTCACAATATAAAACTTTTACGTTGACTTTTATGTGGAGATTTTCTAAAAGAGTATCCTTCATAAATGGTCACTCGAAGGTGTCGTGGTGGCCCGGAGGTTGAAGACGCTTGCTTCTCATGCACGAGGGTGCGGGTTCGAAACCTACCAACGCGACCGGCAAGTACCAATATGACTTTTTCCAAGTTATATGTAGTTCCTAATGGGCTTATAATTTCTAATTATAAGTTTGAAATCGCCAACCCGCATTGAGCAAGCGTGGTGATTGATGCTCTAACCTTCTCCGTGCGAGAAGACGCTTTGCTCAGCAGTGGGCATTTATAAGCTGTTGATGATGATGAATGGTTACTCATCTGGTATCCCAGATGCCCTAAGGACAACTTATAGACCCCTTGTGTTTAGAAAACACCTTTGGTGTTTTTTCGGCGACGCCGATTGCTTATCATCAGGTGATCCGTCAGCTCGTTTACCGGCTTATGCGATAAGAAAAACGAACACCGAACACAATACTGATGCAACTTTAAAAAACCTTAAGAATAATTAAAAAAAAATTGCAATAGTCATTAGTCATTACCCAACGCAATTGTCTCCAAATTCAAGGTATTTGATCATATATATAAATTATTTCGTCCGTTGATACAAACGTACTGTCTGGTCAGACGAATTGATTTATTAGTACTCTAAAGGCAAGCGTATGCGCATCGCGTTGACGTATCAAACGATTTAACTGGCAGTCGGAATTTAGTAGCCAAAGTGATAAGTTGTGTTTGTGATTCTGTGATAAAAAAAATAGGTAAGTAAAAGTAGGTTTTTATTATTTATTAATTTTAATTATTGTGTTAATAAATACAAACAATTATAGTACAATATATAATTTTTTTGTCACTTCATAATAATTTAAAACGACGTTGGTCTGCTAGCGTAATACTCGAAAACTATTGAACGGATTTTGATACGATTTGCACTAGTGGATAGAGTGATGTTTAACGAAGGTTTGAGTGGTATAATTCGTGAAGATTTGAGTATGGTGAAAAAAGAAAAAGTTGTTTCATGTTGGGTTTCCGCGAGGCCGTGGTATCACTCCGGTCGAGCCGGCTCCTTCGTGCTGAAGCATTGCTTTTCTACACGTATCTGGTTCGAAGTCAAAGTCTCGAATTTCCCAGATTTTTTCGGAAACTTATGGTGGTTTGTGTAGGCGTCCTCCATCGTGCACCATCAGGCGAGATAGTAGACAAATGTCTATATATTTCTGATAAATAAAGGGTGGTATTTAATACTTTAACTGTAAATTCCCTTTTTTCAATAAAAATATTCGTAATTACCACCAAAAATACTGAATTGTACACTAAATTTGATCATCAAATAAGTCTATTATACTATACTGTTAGATCTTTAAAGCTTAACTGTTTTACTGAATGACTATCTTTTAACTAAAAGTTAATCTAATAATTTTTCTAGTGCAACAAAATATGTACTAACTTAACCTAACCTACCCCAATATTAAACAATTTGTGTGCAATACAGTATTTTTGTTTTACGGTTCATTTTTTTTGATATACAGTAGGTTATTAGTGGAGAAATTTGGTTTGCATTCTAAGTACAGTTGTAATAAAAAAATCCCCTAAAAAAATCATCTCTACCCTTAAAAAACACGGAAACTTAATGAAGAAATTGTTATTCATGGTATGTTAGTGATGTACCCATCTTATCCAAGTTAGCCAGGTATAGGTACTATCAGATAGGTAGCCTAAGACGCCCGCTTCTCATGCATGAGGGTGTGACTTCGAAACCTACCAATAGCAAAAACCAATGACTTTTTCCGAGTTATATGTACTTTCTAAGTACAGGCAAATAAACTTCAGCTTAAAAAGCAATTGGAATGAGCACCTAGCTTCACCTAGCTTCACTGACGGACTGACTGACAGACTATTATTTATTTTGTATTTGTTGACGTTTCAAAAGTACCAAATTATGATTTAATTGAAATAAATGCTTTGACTTTGACGACTGCCTCGTTGGCTGAGTGGTCACAAGTGCGACTGCCGGGCAAGGGGTCTCGGGTTCGATTCCGGGGTCGGGCAAAGTAGTACTGGGATTTTTAAAAAAATCTCATTAGTAGCACGGACTTTAGTCTGGAATTGTGCCCGGTATATGGTAATAGGCTCACCCCCTATTACATGCGACTCATAACATAAATAGTGAAAATTGGGTGTTACATTTTACAATCGTATAATGTGTACCTCTGCCTACCCCTTAGGAGATAAAAGGCGTGATATTATGTTATGTTATATAAAGCTGAAAATATTGTTTGTTTAAACGCGTCAATCTCAAGAACCACTGGTCCAATTTGAATAATTATTTTTGTGTTGCTTAGTTCATTTATCGACGAAGGCTATAGGCTATGAAACATCACGCTACGGTCAATAGGCGCCGAGCAGAGCAGGTAAAAGTATATAAGATTATATTCTATATATGACTGATGCCGAAAGCGTAATTCTAAGTAAATAAGTATGTCTGATGCCCGCTAACTATGAAAGTAAATAGATGTTATTTACTCAGTAAATAGGACATCACAAATATTATAAATGACAAATATGATCACCTTACTGATAGATCTAAATATAATCGTGCGATTTTTAAATGGATTGCCACATAACATAACATAACATCACATCACGCCTTTTATCCCCGAAGGGGTTGGCAGAGGTGCACATTATGCCACTGTAAAATGTAACATCCACTTTTCACTATTTATGTTATGAGTCCCATGTAATAGGGGGTGAGCCTATTGCTATATACCGGGCGCAATTCCAGATTCCGTGCTACTACTAAGATTTTTTTTTAAACTGTCAAACACCAAGCGGTCACCGGTGACCGCAACCTATTGTTCTATAATTGTGTCTATAATGACGGTACTCGACGAGTTAAAAACCTAATATTACTTTGCCCGACCCCGGAATCGAACCCGAGACCCCTTACCTGGGAGTCCCACTTGCGACCACTCGGCCAACGAGGCAGTCTTTCAAGCAAATTGCTTGCCAAATGTTTTTTTATGGCATAAGCCGGTAAACGAGCACACGGATCACCTGATGGTAAGCAATCGGCGTCGCCCATGGACACCTGAAACACCAAGGCGTTAAGAGTTACCGAGCTTTTGAAAATTGGCATTTTGAGGATTGTGGAGGATTCGGAGATTGGGGAGGGGGGTAATTGGGCCTCCGGTAACCTCACTCACACGACGAAACACAACGCAAGCGTTGCTTCACGTCGGCTTTCTGTGACGCCGTGGTATCACTCCGGTCGAGCCGGCCCATTCGTAAGTGTAGAGATTAACTGGCACTGGAGACGATCTAAGCGAGTTACCGCGACTCCAGGTCTATGCAGGAGTAGGAGTAGGAATGGTGTTTAGTCAGTGAGAGTCTGACACTCTCTATTGACTCGCACAAGTCGTTGGATGATTTTCCACGCTCAAAAAAAGTGGGGAGGTTATGTAGAGGAGGCTTATAGTTCAGCAGGGGACTGTCATCGTTCGATCGTTGGTGATGAATAATCATTAAAACTGGAATACCTAGATTTATGCATAAAAATCTGTTCTCGTAGGAAATTTATGAAATTGTCTCTCGGTAACGTTGTAGAATTTATTATCAATAACATCATCATCATCGACGTCCGAACAAGGTCTTCCTCTTACAAATAGTATGTTGACATAATCCCCACGCTTGGCAAATAGGTTGGGGATGCAAAAAGCCCATTGCTGTACACGTCCTTCCTCTTAAAAGGGGTGGTTGCTATTATAAGAAGCCTTTAACGTAATCCCCACACTTGGCGAATTTGGTTAGAGATCGTAGTATGAATACCTTAGGTTTCAAAACATACTTTACATATTTGTAGCCTATCGTTTGATTATAATCACATAGATTGCTACCATATCAACTCCGGTTATTATGTGCTAAACCGGCTATTTGTAACTGATAATTAGGAGCGAAGTGTGATGAAACACAAAGGATATTATAGCAATATCGCATGTATATATAATTCAATATTGCTAGCCAATACAGGACATTGAGAAAACGTAGTATTTTTTGTACCGATACCTACTATTATCTCTGTCGATAAATCTACCATTTAAGGGGCCACTGCTGACCAAAGGCCTCTTCACGTAGAAGGTTTGAGCATTAATCACCACGCTTGCTCAATGCGGGTTGGCGATTTCAAACTTCTAATTAGAATTTATAAGCCCAGGTTTCCTCACGATGTTTTCCTTCATCGTTTGTCAGTGGTATCTCAATAATCTTAGAAAGTACATATAATTTGGAAAAAGTCACATTGGTACTTGTCGTTGGTAGGTTTCGAACCCGCATCCTCATGCATGAGAACCGGGACAGTCTTATAAGTTTATCGTTCCGTTATCCGTGTTACTTTTGAGATTTTTTTAAACACAGTAATACTTTGCCCGACCCGGTAATCGAACCCGAGACCCCTTGCCCGGCAGTCGCACTTGCGACCACTCGGCCAACGAGGCAGTCCAAAATATTTCAAATTTGCTTATCACAGTTGCAAGACAACTTGTGTGTTTGATAAATACGCAATTATTATCGCATTAGATATCAAGATTTGATTTTAATTGAACATTAAATACTAAAAACAATAAAATAATAATAATTTTATTCTAATAGCGTGACTCTATAAACGGTAGACCAGGCGCATCAAATTTTCACACCCTGTAGGTATTAAAAAAAAAAAAACATTTCATTACAAAACTGTGGAATGGTCTGTCGTCGGCGGTATTTCCGAACCGATACGACCTTCAACCCTTCAAGAGAAGATCGTATTCCTTTTTAAAAGGCTGGCAACGCACCTCTGATTCCTCTGGTGTTACGGGTGTCCATGGGCGACGCTGATCGCTCACAAAGTCAAAGTTAAAGTCAAAAGTCAAAATCATTTATTTCAATTAGGCCAGAATGGCGCTTTTGAACGTCAACAATAAAATTAAAAGTGAAGCTATTTGCTCATTCCAAGGTGTAAATTCCTATGGAGATGAACGAGCAAGAAATTCCATAGGTTACTCTCTACTCTTACCATCAGGTGATCCGTCTGCTCGTTTGCCTCCATGAAATCTCTTTCGTCTTCGTCCCGAGGCAAAAAAACTTGCCATAACGAGTACTATCGATGTATAAAAGTAAAAACAAATATATAAAGACGTCAATAATTTTAGTATAAAAATTTTTCAGTTCGGTTTCAGAGGAATTTCCTCTCACGGACCCTCCGATTGTAGAATGATGATGATACGGAGTCGCGGAGAATCTAACGGGTTACCGGGGCTCCGGCTCGAAGTGCAGGAGAAGGAACGGGGTGGTTTTTAGTCAGTAAGAGTCTGACACTGCCTTCCACCTCACCCGAGCGGGAGCAGTCATTCGATGATTTTCCCCCCTTAAAAAAAACACCTACTTTTAGCCGGAGTCACTGTAACCTTCGGTTTTCCGGCAGGCAGGCATTAGCCCTAGTAGGTGCTATAGAATTCTACCTTCTCCTACTTGGAATAATAAGCATAATAGTTATTATTGTATACTATAGTCGACCTATTACAGTCATGTCATTAGGTCGCAGAGACCGTGCGTTACCTCATCAAAATTCTAATTACTCGCATTTATACATAATGCAACACAAATTAAACATAATATATAAGCCGGACGATGACGGCTGAGTAGAATACAATTGTCACCACCGTTACTCTTCCCGCAGGTGTCGTATACCCGACTAAACATTAGACAGAGACCGGGCAGCAGCGCTCTC